TGATAGGTTTCTTTTTTGTGAGTGTAAAACACTTAAATACACTACTTCCATTTTTTAAAAACATTTTTAATTCCTCCAATAATTCATGTGGATCCTTAAAAGGTCTAGTAGAAAGCATGTTGCATAACAATAGTAGATGTAAACCTTGAATTACAATGCTACTGTTGATTCCAGTATGGGTAGCTTCATATTTTTGGAAATGAAATAAACTTGTTTATTCCAAATTAAAATACTATCAATGAAGCCATATGTTAGAGCTAATACAAATTTTATTGCACTTCACCAAACACAATAATAAAGATACTTGTTGACCATTCACTAAATAACCTTAACGCTTCCCCAGCCAAGATAAAAAGGTAGAAACTTTATATAGCTAGTTACAGTTGACAATGCTTAATGTAAAAATAAATTATTCTTTCCTAAGGATTATTCATTACCTTTTAGACAAAATACTCAATCGGTCCAAAACTCTTGTATCGTGTAGACGAACTTACTTCTTAGCACAAATTGAGCCTTAACTTTGCATATCTTGATTCCTATCTTTACTACCACACAAGCTCTTGGCAAGCAATTAACAGTATTTCCTTTTAACACATATTTCAAGCTTTAATCCTAAAAATATAGAATTGCATTTACTACTTTCAAATATTTTAAAGTTAAAACACAATTTGGTGAATTTTGACTCTCAGTTTTCAAAAACTGATAAAATCTAATGCATTTATATTTTGAAATGTATATCTTATTTTAATATAGTTTAAGGTTATTATAATTTATCTTCTGTCTTCCTATATTCTTCCATAATGGGTCACTTCAGATGATGACCATTAAAGCAAGGGACCATTAAAGCCTGTTGGGAAGACATAATTCCACAGTTAAAGTTTTGCTTTTTTAATACTTGATCATAGTGTGAGCTGTGACTCGGCATTAGAAAAATTGATGTGGCCCGTCTATTGAGGCCGACTGCTTTACAGCGTTATGTAAGTTGAAGATGCGTAACCCGTCTATTGGGGCCCACTGCTTTATTGTGTTATGTAAGTTCAAGATATGTGACCTGTCTATTGGGGCCCACTGCTTTACAGTGCTAATGAAGTTGAAGATATGTGACCCATCTATTGAGGCCCACTGCTTTATTGTGTTATGTAAGTCGAAGATATGTGACCCGTCTATTGAGGCCCACTGCTTTACAGCGTTATGTAAGTTGAAGATACGTGACCCGTCTATTGAGGCCCACTACTTTACTGTGTTATGTAAGTTGAAGATATGTGACCTGTCTATTGGGGCCCACTGCTTTACAGTGCTAATGAAGTTGAAGATATGTGACCCATCTATTGAGGCCCACTACTTTACTGTGTTATGTAAGTTGAAGATACGTGACCCATCTATTGAGGCCCACTGCTTTACAGCGTTATGTAAGTTGAAGATATGTGACCCATCTATTGAGGCCCACTGCTTTATTGTGTTATGTAAGTTGAAGATATGTGACCCATCTATTGAGGCCCACTGCTTTACAGTGCTAATGAAGTTGAAGATATGTGACCCATCTATTGAGGCCCACTACTTTACTGTGTTATGTAAGTTGAAGATACGTGACCCATCTATTGAGGCCCACTGCTTTACAGCGTTATGTAAGTTGAAGATATGTGACCCATCTATTGAGGCCCACTGCTTTATTGTGTTATGTAAGTTGAAGATAAAACATTTTCCTTACATATCAAGCTGGCATGTCTGTTATTCCGACATCTTGACAAGTCTAGAAACACTAAACAACAGAACTTATTCTTAAAAGAACTGTATTTTGTACTTGTAAAAATTCTAGTTAAGTAAAAAAAAACAAAAGCACCAAACCCATTTATAAGTGAAAGTCAATACTACTGGTGCAGAATGAGGAACTGGAAAATCTATACAACTTACAAAGGCAGCACTTTTATCTCTCTCTGAATATTGAAAAGCTGACAGTTTATCCTGGTGATATATATATGGTATAATGAATCATTCCATGGTATATTACAATTCCTTTGAAGTTCAACCAGAAACTAGGAGCTTTGGAATGAAGAAGTGTTTGTGTGTGTTTACTTATAGCAAAGCCACTTCGGGTTATCTGCTGTGTCCACTGAGGGGAATCAAACCCTTGATTTTAGCGTTGTAAATCCGAAGACTTACCGCTGTCCCACCGTGATGAAGTGTTATGTGATACAAATAATTATATACACACACATTTTTGAAAATAAGAAATTAAAACTTGTATAATATCAAAATCTATATCAATAACTATGTTTTAATCCCAAGTTTATTGAAATACATTGATAATAAAGTGACTTAATAAAACTTTGAATGTGACTGTGTAAAAAAGTCATGATATGTGCATTTTGTTTGTTTGTTTCTTTTGAATTTCGCGCAAAGCTACACGAGGGCTATCTGCGCTAGCCGTCCCTAATTTAGCAGTGTAAGACTAGAGGGAAGGCAGCTAGTCATCACCACCCACTGCCAACTCTTGGGCTACTCTTTTACCAACGAATAGTGGGATTGACCATCACATTATAACACCCCCACGGCTGAAAGGGCGAGCATGTTTGGTGTGACGGGGATTCGAACCCGCAACCCTCAGATTGTGAGTCGAGTGCTTTAACCACCTGGCCATACCGAGCCATGTGCATTTTGACCAACCTGTAGCGAGAGTATTAATCCAATCAGAATAACACAAAAACAGTTTGTTTAAGTTTTACATGACATACACGATCATATAAATATTATCCTGGAATGTGTTCTGACAAGTTCACTAAATTACTTTGTAACTAAGAAAAACCATTTTTGTTAAATGAATCCCCGTGTTCCAATACAAAAATCACAAGATTCTCTCTTCAAATAATCATTAAAATTAGTGATTTCAGAAAAGAAACACTTTAAGAGTTAATGACACTTATCCTCTAGAGGAAGTGTGAAACTCTTACCTTCAGGTCCATCAATGATGTAACCATCTTCGTTTTCCTTCCTTCAAATTCTCCATCCTAAAGTGTAAATTAAATTTCGTTAGGTAATCATAAACATATTTAATTTTATAAACTAAAAGTCTTGTGCAGAAATATAGCGATGATAGAGCATGCATTGAAAATTAACAACAGATATATTGTATTTTGATGCATTAAAATTAATTACACCATTTGGTAAAAATAGGAAACATTACTAAAAAAAAAAACATGCAAAAATAATTAATTTCTTTCTTTTCACACAAAATTAACAATGTATCGTAAAATTTAAAGAGATCACCGCACAGCAATGTGTTTCATGAAGAGGTCACCAGATGGCTGTGAAACTTTGGTGAAATTTAAGTTTGAAGTACAATATATTTTTTAAATTCTTGTATAGACTAGAAGTACAAGTCTTTCTATTAACAAATCATATTAGGATATTAGTTACAAGTTATTTTATTTATTATTGACTCTAAGACTATCACAAATAAGTTTTCTGTGTTATATTTTCTTAAAAATTTCCTCTGTTTGGCCCACCATGTATACAATTATCCACTAGAAAAGTTACATTTGTGAAATCTCTACCTCTATCAAAAAAATTGGAAAAAAAAAAGAAAACAGAAATAGATGAAAGAAGAAACTACAAAGATGAGATGAAAAAAAAATGGTGTTACAATTTTTTGAAATATTTCACTGTGTAAATACATTTGAAATAATTATCATACACATCTCATAAGAGTACTACAGCTAAAAATGAAGATAAATAACTATCAGCACTTCTAACCCTTTTCAAAGTCCAGTCAATACAACTATCAAAAGGTAATATCAAAGAACAGCTTACAAATAAATACTTTTAAAACTAATTTCTCAAGTTTAACAGACTTACAGCTGGGAAGTTGTGAGATTTATAGAACTGTGATATAGAATAAGCTCGAATATAATCCCCCATTTCTTCACGATTTTCAATCGCACGCTTCACCAGCCACTGTTCGAAATAAACATTTAATTATTGAAAATCAGATAAAGAAACGTGTGCAAAAAAAATAAAGAAGATGCTAAAATAATATCAGCATTTCAAAGTTATCTATGTTACTCAAATGCTTCTCCAAGTAAAGGAGCATATAAAAATAATAATCCAGTTTCAATAATTACAAGTGTACCTGAAAAAAATAAGATTACATAATCAAATATACATTGTACTTAAAACATGCAAGACTTAGATTTAATTCATTTAGTAAACAAGTTTTAAAACACAGTCTAAGTTATAATTAATTAGGAACAGAACTTATTACTCAGTTGGAGGGCACACATAAGTATTTACTCTTTTTAAGATGAAGATTTACAATTATAAAAATACAAAAAAAGAATGAATACTTGATAAAGGAATTCACAGTCATCTCTAAATGAAACACTGTAATCGACTGACAGTAATCTCTAACAGAAACACTGTAATCGACTGACAGTAATCTCTAATAGAAACACTGTAATTGACTGACAGTAATCTCTAACAGAAACACTGTAATTGACTGACAGTAATCTCTAACAGAAACACTGTAATTGACTGACAGTAATCTCTAATAGAAACACTGTAATCGACTGACAGTAATCTCTAATAGAAACACTGTAATTGACTGACAGTCATCTCTAATAGAAACACTGTAATGGACTGACAGTCATCTCTAATAGAAACACTGTAATTGACTGACAGTCATCTCTAATAGAAACACTGTAATCGACTGACAGTCATCTCTAATAGAAACACTGTAATTGACTAACAGTCATCTCTAATAGGAACACTGTAATTGACTGACAGTCATCTCTAATAGAAACACTGTAATCGACTGACAGTAATCTCTAATAGAAACACTGTAACAGACTGACAGTAATCTCTAACAGAAACACTGTAATCGACTGACAGTCACCTTTAATAGAAACACTATAATCGACTGACAATCATCTCTAATAAAAACACTGTAATCGACTATCCAAGTTCCTGTGAAACTACCACAAAATTAATAAACTCTAGTAACTTCTCTACACAAAAATTACTGTGGCTGAAAAAGTCAAAGAATCTAGCACCTGAACAACAGGGTATATGTGAATAAAATCTAGTCCTTGGATTTGATGGGGCTCAATACGATGAGGGCATTTCATTTTTGGTAGAACAGCAACAATCTTTTCTGTTAAGGCACTGCATCATAAAAAAAAACTTTCATTACTCATACTAAAGTAACTAGAATTAATACTTAGATGAATATGACAGTGTGAAATGTACCATAAGTTTCACACACCATGAGGAGTAACTTGAAGTGCTCCTTTATCATTAGGTTCACCTTTACAAGATTGTTGATCAAATGAACCATGGGGCAAAATGTTGGTGTTGGTCACTTAAAATTTTTCTAAATCTACATAATGTGTCACTCAACAGCGACACTATTAAATAAATTTATATGAGCAATATTGTCTTTTTTTTTCTATTAATAACCAACACTTGTTATACAAATCACTGGTCATGATAAAGTGTAAAAAATTCATTAATTTAAGTAGTTTCCTTTAGTTTAAAAAAAAAAAGCTTCATTTTATTTATAGGAAATATGAAAATGTAAAAATAATTACTGCCAAAATGCTTGATTCTCCCTATCATATTTATCTCACAACTGTCACACGTTATTTATACTTGTATCATCTCACTTACATTTTTTGACCAATGGTCAGATTTTCGTGGAATAGAAGGTCAACGTCAATATCCACACTGCACATCTCGATACACCAAGTCATGCCTCCTACAATCTGGTAAGAAGGATAATGGAATATTATTTAATAGAAAACGAAAACCTTAATAATAATAACAAAGAATTGAAAAAAAAACAAATATATATAAATCTTAATTACAAAGTTTATAAATGCTGGATCGAAATTTTTATTCAAGAGATTTATTTCTTAAACAACAACATCAACAAGAAATACTCATAACTATAAATATTCTGATATACAAACTTTGTTAGAGGTGCACTAAAAATTTCTGTTTTTCAAACTGGGCTGAGTAATTGACCATAAACGAGATACAGATGGTGTATTTTCATTTTCTTGAGGTGGATTAGTACGAATGTTAGTTTTTAATCCTAGTGCATTTTCCAAGTAATTTTTTTATGTTCTTTGTTTTATAAGGCACCTATGTCCCATAATCTTTTTTCTTTAGAAGTCCCTCAAATACTTTAGTTAGTTCATGATTTATTAGGTAGTTTTAGATGACTCTGCCATAGCCTAAAGAAGTTTCAAAAAATACTTTTGTTAGTTCATGATTTATTAGGTAGTTTTAGATGACTCTGCCATAGCCTGAAGAAGTTTCACAAAAATAGGTAGTTTTAGATGACTGCCATAGCCTGAACAAGTTTCAAAAAATACTTTTGTTAGTTCATGAGTATTTTTTGAAACTTCTTCAGGCTATGGCAGAGTCATCTAAAACTACCTAATAAATCCTGAACTAACAAAAGTATTTTTGTGAAACTTTTTCAGGCTATGGCAGTCATCTAAAACTACCTAATAAATCATGAACTAACTAAAGTATTTTTGTGAAACTTCTTCAGGCTATGGCAGAGTCATCTAAAACTACCTAATAAATCATGAACTAACAAAAGTATTTTTGTGAAACTTCATCAGGCTATGGCAGAGTCATCTAAAACTACCTAATAAATTACCCTGACACTAGTTCATGACTACTCATCTTCTGAAAGATCTGTCAAAAAGCTAATTGGAGGTTTTAAAGAAGTATTGTGAAACTTCTTCAGGCTATGGCAGAGTCATCTAAAACTACCTAATAAATCATGAACTAACAAAAGTATTTTTGTGAAACTTTTTTAGGCTATGGCAGAGTCATCTAAAACTACCTAATAAATCATGAACTAACTAAAGTATTTTTGTGAAACTTTTTTAGGCTATAGCAGAGTCATCTAAAACTACCTAAAAAATCATGAACTAACAAAAGAGTAGACAGGAATTAGTGTCAGGGTAAGATGTTACACTAGTGTTTGTCAAGTAGACAGGAATTAGTGTCAGTAAGATGTTACACTAGTGTTTGCTCACTAGTGTAACATCTTACCCTGACACTAATTCCTATCTACTCTTTCTCAAGTAGACAGGAATTAGTGTCAGGGTAAGATGTTACAGTAGTGTTTGTCGAGTAGATAGGAATTAGTGTCAGGGTAAGATATTATACTAGTGTTTGTCAAGTAGACAGGAATTAGTGTCAAGATTGCAATGATGTAAAGGAAAACTTAGACTAGATATGTTGACTAAGATACACAGTCTCAGTCTACTAGGGCTGAAACATTTCATAAAATTGTGGACAATTCTTTTCTCATTAAGCATATATCAGACATCTATGATCATATATGTACTAGGTTAAAAACATGTATTATCTGAAAGTTTTGAAAGTCACATATTTGAATATCTTTATAAGATGATTGAAGAATGAGTTATCACAGATGAATACACGTGCACACTTCGACCAATGATACAAGACTGACTGCATTCTAGGAAAAAGACATAGCAAAAACAATTAGACAGAATTATTAGTTTGGCTGAGATATAACTTAAATAACTCTGAAACTTTTCTTTTTCACAACTCTCAATAATAAAATATATGGTGTGATAAATAATTAAAAGTTATCTAGTATTTAACAAGCAAAACATCAAAACCAGACCATCTGTCTTAACCAAAGAACAAACCATTCTTGATGTTAAATAAGCACCTTATCAAATGGTGAGAGTCCTTTAATTCTTGCTCTGAAGTATCCTGCAGCCAGTAGAAGTTCAATGGTTTCTTGAAGTTTAACATTTTGCTCTTCATCTTCTCTTGTTTCAACCTTACAAAGAAACAGAACTGCGTAATTAATCGGGCTACTTCAAACTTGTAACCAAAAGGTGTACTTGTATTAATTCTGCATCAAGTGAAATAATTAAAAGTATTCTGAAATTATTTATACAAGGCAAAAAAAAAAAGATAAAGAACATCTTGGAAACCTTTCATTTAAAACTTATAGATAATTTTAATAGTTATCATATAAGCACTAGTAAACATTAAAAAATGAACAGAAAGTTAATTTTTGTACACAAATGCTGCATGGTTTCACAGAACCTGCCAGGTTTTGAGAACAGAAATCTGGAAATGGAAAGCCAGAAAAATTACTGCATAGTTTCACAGAACCTATCAGGTTTTGAGAACAAAAATCTGGAAATGGAAGGTCACAGGAATTATTCACTGAATGTGCACATAGTAAGTCCATTGGACCAACCCTGTGTTGGAAATGTTGACTATAATTCAGAATTTACAAAGTGCATCTTTGGGAAATGTGGCAAGCTTTTAGTAAACAGTACAAGTCTGTTATACACAATCATATGTATTAAGTTTTTGTCCTAATGAAATGATAAAGTCAGTCTGACTCAGATTTTGACAAGTCAGAGTATAAAGTGATGCTCATGTGAATAATAAATACATTTTTTGTCCACTGTTTACTTTGCAAATCATATTTCCATGACTTCTACAACTTTATAAATCCACATCACATCTAAAAAATTTCAATATCCCTATACACTGTATCTGGTATTTTCTCTACTCTAACATGAACTGTTTCAAAATTAGCAACGTAGGGTAACATCATAAGTTGATAACGTTGACATCTACTTCATAATAGATTGCCTTGAAATTTGTAATGTGAAGTAAGAGTCCAGTAGAACAGATCCACTGAAAATATGTGATAGCTTGGATTACCACAGTCCGAGCTACAGAAGGTGGAAAATCGCTAAACTATCACTCCTGTTAATAACACACAGTGTGTCCTGCAGATCTTTTTTTTTTGCCACAAAACACTCTACCGTGTGTCTTGTTTACACTTGATTAAAAGTCTCATCAATAAGTTAATTTTCTAACACTTTAACTCTATCTGTTTCATAAGTATCCACATTATTGATCAATCTCTTGTAAAACACTTTATCTAAGGGTTTCTCAATCCAGGTTGCCCTCATATGAAAATGAAGAAACTCAACAAAAAAATCAAGTTTATTAGTTATGAAAACCACCTCTAAAATGTTTGTTATGAACAAAGCTCAACAGTGTCCAATAATTTTTATGTCTCTCTGACTGAAAACTAATCCAAACCATGTAATTATTCATCTTTTATAAATAAACTAGAAATTGTATAAGTACAATGATAATTATTAGGACATCATGAAAATAATTCCAGCAGAATGCACAAAAAGTATGGGTTGAATAAATGAGTTAATACATACACCAGAAGTTGTTGCAATAAGTTTCTAGAATTAGAAGTTCTGGTGATGGCTAGCATGTTAGATGTTACTAGTTAATGAAGACTACAAAGATGCCATTATTTGAAAGTTGTGAGAAGTACGGTAATAAAACATGGAATTAATTTTATTTGCATGAAGAAAGCTTACGAGACAAGTGATATAGTATTATATCCAATTTCTGAAAAACCATGGAGTGTTAAGAAAAGATTCCTGGTTTGTTAGTATTTTCCACTGATAGAATAGTTAGGATTCCAAGAGAAACAGGCTTAGTATTATAAGAAACTTTACTTTGAAGAAAATTGACTAAATTAGTTTTCCTTCTTTGCAGACAGTTGAAGAACTTCTTGATATTGTTGGAAGACTGTTCCCCACAAGTGCACATGACAGATTTTACAACATACATTATAAAAGAAGATACTGATTTATACCTAGCCTCTACCTCATAAGGATACAGTTAGAAACAAATGTGTTCAACATCGTTTGAGTAATATTTATCACGACAATTTTACCTTAAAAATAATATACAACAACTATTACCTTTAATGATTTTACTAAAACTGGTTAAGAGATGTGCGTGTGTGTGGTCTTCAAAAAAATCAACTTTCAAAAACTGAAGAAGTATATTTTGGAGAGAAAGATTTTGTTGTTAATGTAAGTGGGTGCGTCTGTCTGTTGGTGCAACCAAGCTATTGAAAAAAGAATTTACTCCTGCCAAAGCTTTTATAATTTAACTGAAAAATTAATATAAGTTATTAATAAATCAAAAACTCAAAATTATATGGAAATACATCAGTAGATGAACGGAGAATGCTGATGTTTATAGGAGATACAAATCAAATTCAAGAAAGTAACAATTAAGGATAAAATGGACTATATATTTTAACTGTCCCAAAAACCAACAAAAAATATTCAACTAGAAGAAATTTTCTGCTTATTTTAAAACAAAAAGAAGTAAGAAAGTCTTATTAGTAGAATGATACCTAACTTAAATAATTTATGTTGGAGAGGAATACAGATGTGAAAGCCTATACTAAATGTGAATTTTATTTATTTTCTTATACGTATGTGAGAATGACTATAAATAAAATGATTGGATTTAACGCTATTCTGTAACTATGATTTTTTCTCATGTCCAAAAATATCCTAATTCTATGTAAAACTTAAAACTGCAAAGAATAATAATCATATTTCTGATTTGTTAAAATTATTTACTCAACGTAGCTGTCATTTCACTCGCTTTACTTTTAATTTAACTAAGAAATTTTCATAAGCTATGACCTGGTTTAAGTTCTGATATTATGGCCAATATTTTCCCATATTCGATTGATTAACTTGTAAAACTCTTAGCCTTAATTTGTTCAAACTAAAAATAAAATGAGTCGAATTATTTCTCGACAGTGTCACTTTGCACTTGTCGAAACCAACAAATTTAATTTAACTAAAATGTTCAGAATATTGTAAGGCTGCAAAATAATAATTAAAGATTATTATATTCAAAGTACCTCTGAGTTATACTTATCAAGAGTGTGGGTAGGGGGGATTTTAGGTGGAATAGCTAATCGAGGTATTCCCTGAACAACACTCCCACCTGCAGCGGCCATTATTATCCAAATCCTAAGATGTAAAAAATGACAAATAGAGGGCGATCATAAATATCACATGAAGTAAAATATCATTACAAAATGAACGGGAAGGGATGGGGGACTTATAAGAAATACACTTTAATTGAGTATGGTTTAGTACTTTGTGCAAGTACGTACTGTGTTTGTATTGTTTTTATGGAAAGGCTACTGTGTCTATCTATCTGCTGCCGTTTCCGATTTTGAACTAGTGATCAGAGACAGGGCAGCCAGTCAATAGCACCCTACAATCCACACTAAGGGAATGACTATCACTCTTATAACGCAACCACAGCTTAAAGGGGGATATTTTATGGTCTCGCATGGAATTTAACCTGACTCGACAGATCCGAAATTCATAGCTCTAACACAGAGCCAACCCTCACCCATGTACAAATAAGCTATTCGTATCACAATATTTGCTTTGGAGTTAATTGTATAGCATAGTGGGTATCGTAGCCCCTATTTTTAGAAAAGACACGTTTCAGAAGAGAGAAAATTTGAAGAAAGAGAACGAATTTAATAGATGGTTAATCTAAATGGGATGTAATTTTCTAGTTTGACCAAAATAGTTGTAAAATATATACTAGTGAACCCATGGGCCTATGGCTCACATTTACATGGCCGCTATAATACAAATTTAATGCTTGAACTACTATTTTACACT